GGGTATGTTGTTCTATTATGTTGGTGTGTGTGGGTATGTTGTTCTATTATGTTGGTGTGTGTGGGTATGTTGTTCTATTATGTTGGTGTCTGTGTGGAGGCTGTGTTATCCTATGTTGGTGTCTGTGTGGAGGCTGTGTTCTCCTATGTTGGTGTCTGTGTGGAGGCTGTGTTCTCCTATGTTGGTGTCTGTGGGTATGTTGTTCTTGCATGTTGGTGTCTGTGTGTATGTTGTTCTTGCATGTTGATGTCTGTGTGTACGTTGTTCTCCTATGTTGGTGTCTGTGTGTATGTTGTTCTCTCATGTTGGTGTCTGTGTGTATGTTGTTCTTGCATGTTGATGTCTGTGTGTACGTTGTTCTCTTATGTTGGTGTCTGTGTGTATGCTGTTCTCCTATATGGTGTCTGTGTGTATGCTGTTCTCCTATATTGGTGTCTGTGTGTATGCTGTTCTCCCATGTTGGTGTCTGTGTGTATGTTGTTCTCTTATGCTGGTGTCTGTGAGTATGTTGTTCTTCCATGTTGGTGTCTGTGTGTATGCTGTGCTAACCATGTTGGTGTCTGTATGTGGCTTGTGCTACCATGTTGGTGTCTGTATGTGGCTTGTGCTACCATGTTGGTGTCTGTATGTGGCTTGTGCTACCATGTTGGTGTCTGTATGTGGCTTGTGCTACCATGTTGGTGTCTGTATGTGGCTTGTTCTACCATGTTGGTGTCTGTATGTGGCTTGTGCTACCATATTGGTGTCTGTATGTGGCTTGTTCTACCATGTTGGTGTCTGTATGTGGCTTATGCTACATAATCGACACTATTTTTCCAACTTAATACAAAAAAATCCCCCAAACTACACATAAATATTATTGCTGTCTCATTGCCAGCGAATATTTCCGCAGCATTGTTTGATACAAAACACTTCTGGGAGCTCAATCGACCTTATGGAGCTCAGTCGACCTTCTGGGAGCTCGATCGACCTTCTGGGAGCTCAATCGACCTTCTGGGAGCTCGATCGACCTTCTGGGAGCTCGATCGACCTTCTGGGAGCTCAATCGACCTTCTGGGAGCTCAATCGACCTTCAGGGAGCTCAATCGACCTTATGGAGCTCAGTCGACCTTCTGGGAGCTCGATCGACCTTCTGGGAGCTCAATCGACCTTCTGGGAGCTCAATCGACCTTCAGGGAGCTCAATCGACCTTCTGGGAGCTCAATCGACCTTCTGGGAGCTCAATCGACCTTATGGAACTCAATCGACCTTCAGGGAGCTCAATCGACCTTATGGAGCTCGATCGACCTTATGGAGCTCGATCGACCTTCTGGGAGCTCGATCGACCCTTCAGAGAGCTCCAGTGACCAAACAGCTTGTTGCCAAAAGTATAATACATACACCAGCTAAAAGAACACCCAAGAAATGTACCGAGGAGCCCATTAATACACCTGTATGTTCATTTCCATGAGCAAGCGAGTGGAGTCTTACATACACACATTACATTTAATAATTTAGGTAAACAGGACTATCTGGTACCCGAGACATCCTTCAGGTGGTTGAATTACCTGCAGCAATAAATTCCTCATCTACGCACCTTGCTAGACGTCATTCCATACCAGGTAAGGACAAACGCGACCTTAACAGCGTTGTTAATTAAGGACTAGAGTCCTTATATGTGTCTCTGGCGCGCACATCTCTCCATTTTGGGCCGCCCACAACCACTCATCCTCCGCTACAAAGGAGGAGCAGTTTCTGTAAGCAACACCGCGAGATATTAATTCATTTTCGAATCGCCTTCATTATCTTAGAGACAAAGGAGGCGATGAGCCTGCTGAGGTGTTCTAATGGAACACAACGAAGCTCGTCCTCTTGTGTTCCATTCTCAGTAGATGTACCCACGTCTACTGAGACGGGCAAGCTTGAAGCTTCAGCTAAGGGGAAGGCTTTGCTTTTGATCAGTAGATCTCAGGCTTCAACTAGGGTGAAGGCTTTGCTTCAGAAGAGTAGGGCCCAGGCTTGAAGCTTCAGCTAGGGTGCTAGGGCCCAGGCTTGAGGCTTCAACTAGGGTGAAGGCTTTGCTTCAGAAGAGTAGGGCCCAGGCTTGAAGCTTCAGCTAGGGTGCTAGGGCCCAGGCTTGAGGCTTCAACTAGGGTGAAGACTTTGCTTCAGAAGAGTAGGGCCCAGGCTTGAAGCTTCAGTTAGGGTGAAGACTTTGCTTCAGAAGAGTAGGGGCCCAGGCTTGAAGCATCAGCTAGGGTGCTAGGGCCCAGGCTTGAAGCTTCAGCTAGGGTGAAGGCTTTGCTTCAGACTTACGATGTAGCGAGGAAAGACCGAATCTAACGGCTTAAGGGCTGAAACTAGGCATGGTAAACTTCAGAAGTATAGATAAACTTTGATACGTGTAGGTAAGGCTTCAGACGTGTAGGTAAGGCTTCAGACGTGTAGGTAAGGCTTCAGACATGTAGGTAAGCCTTCAGACGTGTAGGTAAGGCTTCAGACGTGTAGATAAGGCTTCAGACGTGTAGATAAGGCTTCAGACGTGTAGGTAAGCCTTCAGACGTGTAGGTAAGGCTTCAGACGTGTAGATAAGGCTTCAGACGTGTAGGTAAGCCTTCACACGTGTAGGTAAGGCTTCAGACGTGACGTGTAGATAAGGCTTCAGACGTGTAGGTAAGGCTTCAGACGTGTAGGTAAGGCTTCAGACATGTAGGTAAGCCTTCAGACGTGTAGGTAAGGCTTCAGACGTGTAGATAAGGCTTCAGACGTGTAGGTAAGCCTTCAGACGTGTAGGTAAGGCTTCAGACATGTAGGTAAGCCTTCAGACGTGTACGTAAGCCTTCAGACGGGTAGGTAAGCCTTCAGACGTGTAGGTAAGCCTTCAGACGTGTAGGTAAGACTTCAGACGTATAGGTAAGCCTTGAGACATCAGAGTAGCCCTGGAACACCGCAATTCTACCTTCAGACGTGAATGGGACGAGAATAGTGGAAATAGATCAAAACCACAATATTTAACGAATCAATAGAGGCCTTTTTCATTTAATTTGAGCGGAAATTAAATAATTTTCATTTTGTATTTTTCGTATTAAAGAGTTAAGAGGAGCTGTTGAAGCGGATTGCACACGCGGGAGACAGCTGAGGAAGGAAGACCCCGAGGCAATATAGAGTCGTTTGACGGGTGGTATAATATTGTACAGTTCCTTGTAATATTCCAGATGTCATCATTTTTACCTGTTACTGAAATTATATTTTAGAAAGAGAGAGAGAGAGAGAGAGATTAGACGTTATGAGATATGTTTGTTGCTGAAGACGTGAATAGGTAGAAGTGAGCTTGCATGGGTTGAAAATGAACTTGAATGGGTTGAGAGTGAGCTTGAATGGGTTAGAAGTGATCTTGCATGGGTTGAAAATGAACTTGAATGGGTTGAGAGTGAGCTTGAATGGGTTAGAAGTGATCTTGCATGGGTTGAAAATGAACTTGAATGGGTTGAGAGTGAGCTTGAATGGGTTAGAAGTGATCTTGCATGGGTTGAAAGTGAGCTTGAATAGGTTGAAAGTGAACTTGCATGGTTACTTTAGAAAGTTTTAATGTTATCAAATGGATTTAAATCCTCCATGTAAGAGTGATATATATATATATATATATATATATATATATATATATATATATATATATATATATATATATATATATATATATATATTACTTGATATTTCTATTTCTAGTGAGAACATAGTTGTGTAGCGGCTGTAACAAGAGCGAGACTCTAACAAGCAGGGCTCTAACAAGCGGGACTCTAACAAAAGGGAACTCTAACAAGCAGGGCTCTAACAAGGGGTTGTATGTATGGATGACGCGATCAGAGGTCAGGGGTCACCCAGCATAGAGTCGGGGTCACGCACAAATAGAGCCAGCTCTATTTTATATAACAGACAGGTAGATATGACTATTATTTTGTTCACACAACTGCCAGAGACGGCTTTGTTATGTACACCCGGCCATACAAGGCTCTATTGTTCTACCCAGCTGAACTCTATTTTATTGAACAGGTACACACCACTCTATTTTATATATCCGGCACGAAGGGCTCTATTTTGCAAACCCGACTGGGACGGGCTCTATTTTTTACACCTTCCAAGAATAGTTTTGTATTCATGACACAAATCTTTGATTGGCACTATTTAATATATGCGGCAGTAATGGCTATATTTTGTTATATCCAACTGAAGTCGCGTTTTTGGATTTGCAATCAAATTGCAATTTCAAATTGTAATTTCAATCAAATTGGACCGGCCGCGGGGACGCTAAGGCCCGAAATCATCTCAAGATAACCTCAAGATAACACAGTCTGTTTAAATGTAGCTGGGAGAGAGGTTAGGTTGGTTTGGGCTGGGCTTGGGTCGGCTAGGATAGGTTAGATTGAACTAGGTTAGGTTAGGTTAGGTTAGCCTTGATCAGGTAAAGTTATTCCCTGGCTGTCTGATGTCATTCCTGGACTGTCTGATGTCATTCCTGGACTGTCTGATGTCATTCCCTGACTGTCTGATGTCGCGTTCCGACATTCTGAGGTCATGCTTCATGATATATATATATATATATATATATATATATATATATATATATATATATATATATATATATATATATATATATATATATATATATATATATATATATATATATATATATATATATACACACAACACCTGACCTGATCAGTCAGGTGTTGACAAAGGCTCAGATCGGCCGTAACGTTCATCTCTGTTTCCCATTTCTCTGTGGATTTTCCGCATACAAGTGATCAGTGTTTAGTGATTGTCAATTGCATATATATAATATATAAAGAGTATCACCCACGAAACCTCTCTCAGTGTACAGCAATAGCAACTAACCTGTTGCAAATAACCGCGGATGAAGCCATTAACACAGTGGACAAAACTGGAGACAATCTCCACTACAACCCACTGAGTAATGGATGTAGGCACACTTAAACCCACTTAATGGTCTTTTACGCCCAGCAAAGCTTGTTCCAGTTTTAGTCCATGCTAGAGATCATGCCATTGGCCGTCCACAATATATCCGATGTTGTATGATGTATTTTTGTTCAATTTCACGCTGAAACAGATGTGAACACTTAAAGGTATTCAGGTAATTATAGTCGGGAAATATCAGAAATTAATTCACAATACATTCATTTCCTTTTAAATATATTTGAGCTAAGCCACAAACTTGAAAGAAATACAGAAACAATTTTTAAATGACCGTTCAATATTGCACTAGAAAACAACAGAACATATAGAGTGGGAAAACATGTGTAGGTTAAAACTCGTCTAACCTAAAGGTGATGTAGCGAAGTGTGCAACTGGATAAATTGGTCAAGCTTCCTGCTAAAAGCGAGGTGTTTTAAAAACACCAAAAAGTTTTGAAGGTCAGAGCATATATATATACTCTCGCAACAGCTACACACCACCACCTCTCTTCCCCAACTCTGTGACACGGTTGCAAAGGTAAAGAGATAATTGCACTTTTCATTTGAGTACCAGCAAGAGAAGCCATCAGAGACAAGAGTAATCGAGTACGGGGCTTAACTACCCGTGTTAGAAGGATATTGTTGTGGAAAATGTAGTGGCCTTTAACAGTGGCGTGAGAGAGAGTCCGAGCTGTTAAATCAGGAAAACTCCATTTGTTTATTTTTGTTTAGAGGTAAAGTTGCCGCGGCGTCCGGGATAGAGGACAGGGGGAAAAGAGACAGGGAAGGACAGGAACTGAAGCGGAGTTGTGGGATAGGGGAATGGATAAAGAGGATAAATGGTACGAGACAAGTTTAAGAAAGTAGTTATTCTGAGACGGAAAATTATAAAAAAAACAGATAAAGTGCCATAGAATAGACAGCAGGAGCATATATTAGAAGGTTATCTTGAGGTTATCTTGAGATGATTTCGGGGCTTTAGTGTCCCCGCGGCCCGGTCCTCGACCAGGCCTCCACCCCCAGGAAGCAGCCCGTGACAGCTGACTAACACCCAGGTACCTATTTTACTGCTAGGTAACAGGGGCATAAGGTGAAAGAAACTCTGCCCTCTTACTCTGAAAGATAAGAGCATAGAACAGACAACAAGAATACAGACCAGAACAGAGAGCAAGAACATTGAACAAAATCTTAAACTACATGACTTGTGTTGATAAGAAGGATATGGGTATTAGATTATTAATATTTAGATAACGAATGGGTTAATGGGGAAGGTATGATTGAAGGGGTGATAAATGGGTAATGAATGGGACATACTGTTAAATGATAAATGACCGTCGAGAATGATAAACAGGAATAAGATATGATGCGATAAAGTGAAACAAATATGATAACGGATGTTTAAACAGGTGATGGGGCGAAATAGGACAGTCAACTGGCGATAGACCAGACAGAGTTGGTGAAGATTTAGACAGACAGACAGCTTGAGACGGGCCAGAGAGACAGTTGAAGTGTTAGACAGACAGATACTGAAATATATAAAATTACTACCGAAAAAAATCATTCAGATATCATTCATTCATCATTCATTCAGAATCAGAATCAAAAAATCATTCAGAATCAAACTTATTCAATGATAGAAAAACTGAAACAAGCACAATGAAGAATGGAAAAGAAGAGTGGAGAAAGGGGAAGCAAGAATAACAGATTGAGAGAGCAAAAGGCAAAGAGGAACAGAAGAAAGTGACAGAAGTGTGATGTTACGAAAGGGGGGAATAGGAGATAGGAAACAAGTCACGAGGGATAGGCAGCAAGGACAGAAACAAGGAACGGAAGAGGGGAAGAAAAGAATGGAAGAGAGAAAATCTTCCAGAGAAAGAAGGGAAGAATATGAACTAAATAAAACCAAAACAGAGGGTGATGGAGACTAACAAATGGGAATACCCAGACGCTGATAAAGCTGGGGTATGAGAGAGAGAGAGAGAGAGAGGGGAAGGAAGGAATTATCAAGGGAAAGCGCCAAGCCATTACGCAGGATAAGGATTTGGGATGGGACGGGGGAAATGAATGGTGCCTCTCTCTCTCTCTCTCTCTCTCTCTCTCTCTCTCTCTCTCTCTCTCTCTCTCTCTCTCTCTCTCTCTCTCTCTCTCTCTCTCTCTCTCTCTCTCTCTCTCTCTCTCTCTCTCTCTCTCTCTCTCTCTCTCTCTCTCTCTCTCTCTCTCTCTCTCTCTCTCTCTCTCTCTCTCTCTCTCTCTCTCTCTCTCTCTCTCTCTCTCTCTCTCTCTCTCTCTCTCTCTCTCTCTCTCTCTCTCTCTCTCTCTCTCTCTCTCTCTCTCTCTCTCTCTCTCTCTCTCTCTCTCTCTCTCTCTCTCTCTCTCTCTCTCTCTCTCTCTCTCTCTCTCTCTCTCTCTCTCTCTCTCTCTCTCTCTAGAGAGAGAGAGAGATCTCTCTCTCTCTCTCTCTCTCTCACTATTATATTGGAGCACCATTCATTTGAGAGTAAAATAGAGAGAGAGAGAGAGAGGAGAGTGAGAGAGAGAGAGTGGGAGAGAGGAGAGAGAGAGAGAGAGAGGAGAGAGAGAGAGGAGAGAGAGAGAGAGAGAGAGAGAGAGAGAGAGAGAGAGAGAGAGAGAGAGAGAGAGAGAGAGAGAGAGAGAGAGAGAGAGAGAGAGAGAGAGAGAGAGAGAGAGAGAGAGAGAGAGAGAGAGAGAGAGAGAGAGAGAGTGTGTGTGTGAGAGTGAGAGAGAGAGAGAGAGAGGTGTGGGAAGGGGGAAATGTTATTAGTGGAGAAGTGGACTGGCATTGAAGATCCTGGGAATGACAGATGAGGGAAGGAGAGAGACACCAAGAATAATTGAGGACAATGAATAAGGAACCAATGTGACAGACCCGTCCAGTGAAGTGAATTTAAATAATGAATTATTAAAACGTTTCATGAATGACAAACTTGGAAATGCATTGTATTATCAAACACTTTGGAAACATAAACAATGAACGTTTATAAGACGTTTGGAGATATTAGACGTAAATTAATACATTTGTATGTTTGTTTATGATTACAATCTTATTAATCTTATTAAGCATTGGTCAGGGTAGTTATGTGCTCTTAATCTTACGAATCTCTACGACGTAGCCGCTACGTCGTGGTACGCGTCGTAAGTCAAGACGTACGACCCTCTCCGACCGTACCTAACCTGTATGTCGAAGCACGAATGCCCAAAATGCCCAAAACAGTACTGTACATATAGTACAGTACTATATGTACTGTGAACCAAATTCTGAGCCTGCCATCAGGGTTATCTTGAGATGATTTCGGGGCTTAGCGTCCCCGCGGCCCGGTCCCCACTTCTCCGGCGAAAAACAATGGGTAGAGTTTCTTTCACCCTATGCTCCTGTTATCTAGCAGTAAATAGGTACCTGGGTGTTAGTCAGCTGTCACGGGCTGCTTCCTGGGGGTGGAGGCCTGGTCGAGGACCGGGCCGCGGGGACACTAAGCCCCGAAATCATCTCAAGATAACCTCAAGATAGAAGATAACCCGACCAGGCCTCCTTAGGTACCTGGGAGTTAGACAGCTGCTACGGGCTGCTTCCTGGGGGATGTGTAACAAAAAGGAGGCCTGGTCGAGGACCGGGCCGCGGGGACGCTAAGCCCCGAAATCATCTCAAGATAACCTCAGGATAACCTCAAGAAGCCCTGAAATAATTGATGACTGAGGGATAAGATACTTTTATCCTTAACTTTATTCTTAAATAATCTTAAATATTCTTTCTAAAAAAATAATATATTCTTAAACCAGCGTTTCGTTTCCCTTAAGAAACACGATCAGAAACTATGAAACGAAGGAGATAAATGGCCGTTAAACGAGGTGGGTCGTTAATAGCTGGTTTGAGTACCTGAGACCGGTCGTTCCATAAGGTGCGCATCACTTACGCAGGTCGTAATATCGAGTTTACCTCACCCTCAGTCTGGTCGTTACACCCGATTTACATTAATAAGGAGTGTGCCGCTATACATGGATATTATCACTCAAGGCTTTCGTTATATCTAGTCTGTCTTAGCTAATTCCTAGAACTTTTCAGCGTTATCATGGCTGTCATTATATCTAGCCTTTGTTCTTATGGTGGCCATTATATCCGGCTTTCCTTCCTAAGGCTGTCATTATATCTGGTCTTTGTACTTAAGACCTTCATTATATCTGGTCTATGTACTTAAGACCATCATTATATCTGGCTTTCCTTCTTACTTAAACTGGCCCGCGTTATCAAGGCGGTCGTTATCTAGTCTACGTTATAAAAGAATGTCGTTATATCTGGTCTCCATTACGAAGGCTGGTCCCTATATCTAGTCTGCTTTAACAAGGACGGTCCATATATCAAGCTGAGGTTATATAGCCTGGTTCCTATATCTAATCTACATAATCATATCTAATCGCCATATCAGTTATTCAATTATCGAGGTCGGTCTTTATATGAAGGTTGTAATCATCAATCATCAAAATTGGTAGTTTCATGCAACAAGCAATTAACGGCAGTACTTCGTTATCGCCTTTAAGAGGTAAACGAAGGTTTTTCGTTTAACTGCTGAAGTTCATGAAACACAAGACGTTGGTAACTCTGTACAATCGTCTCTCCGTTCGTTAGTAAACTGTACGCCTTTGTTCACTCAGCAGTAATTGGGAACCTGATTGTTAAACGATTGACGGGTCGTTAGTAAGACTTACCATGAACTATGGGGAAGACAAACTCTCAGTCTGTTAACAGGAGTCAGCAGTCGTCTGTTCCTGTATCACCTTTCTAAAAAAAAAAAAGATATTGGCAATATTTCTTATAATATGTTCATTTTTTCTGAATTTAAAGTGATGTTCAAAATGTTCTGCATTTTGGTCGGGAAAAGGGAGCCGGTCGGCCGAGCGGACAGCACTCTGGACTTGTGATCCTGTGGTCCTGGGTTCGATCCCAGGCACCGGCGAGAAACAATGTGCAGAGTTTCTTTCACTCTATGCCCCTGTTACCTAGCAGTAAAATAGGTACCTGGGTGTTAGTCAGCTGTCACGGGCTGCTTCCTGGGGGTAGAGGCCTGGTCGAGGACCGGGCCGCGGGGACACTAAAGCCCCGAAATCATCTCAATATAACCTCAAGATAACGGCATATACCAATTTCGAAACTGTAGCTGATATATGTGAAAAGCAGACAAAAATAGGGTTACATAGGCCAGTCTCTTAGACTGGCCTATTTATTCCGAGGAGGAGCAGCCGAAGTGCAGATTACACATCTAAATGGTCCATGTAAACAGTATGGAATAAGTCTCCAATTTATAACCCCCTTCGCCTAAAGAGACCAGGCCTTAGTGACTAATGTAGCGTCACTTACTGGTGCTTATGCTATTAGAATGGTTTTAGATTTGAGGAATAGGTTATGAACGAAATTATTGCGAGGTATTAGTCTATGCCGGAGCGATGACTGTGTTTGCAACTTGTATATGAAAATATAAATGTTGCTATAACAAGTAAGGTGCTACCTGGTTGATACCTGGTTGATGGGGTTCTGGGAGTTCTTCTACTCCCCAAGCCCGGCCCGAGGCCAGGCTTGACTTGTGAGAGTTTGGTCAACCAGGCTGTTGCTTGGAGCGGCCCGCAGGCCCACATATACCTGCTTGATGGGGTTCTGGGAGTTCTTCTACTCCCCAAGCCCGGCCCGAGGCCAGGCTTGACTTGTGAGAGTTTGGTCAACCAGGTTCTTCTACTCCCCAAGCCCGGCCCGAGGCCAGGCTTGACTTGTGAGAGTTTGGTCCACCAGGCTGTTGCTTGGAGCGGCCCGCAGGCCCACATATACCTGCTTGATGGGGTTCTGGGAGTTCTTCTACTCCCCAAGCCCGGCCCGAGGCCAGGCTTGACTTGTGAGAGTTTGGTCAACCAGGCTGTTGCTTGGAGCGGCCCGCAGGCCCACATATACCTGGTTGATGGGGTTCTGGGAGTTCTTCTACTCCCCAAGCCCGGCCCGAGGCCAGGCTTGACTTGTGAGAGCTTGGTCCACCAGGCTGTTGCTTGGAGCGGCCCGCAGGCCCACATATACCTGCTTGATGGGGTTCTGGGAGTTCTTCTACTCTCCAAGCCCGGCCCGCAGGCCAGGCTTGACTTGTGAGAGCTTGGTCCACCAGGCTGTTGCTTGGAGCGGCCCGCAGGCCAGGCTTGACTTGTGAGAGCTTGGTCCACCAGGCTGTTGCTTGCAGCGGTCCGAGGCCAGGCTTGACTTGTGAGAGCTTGGTCCACCAGGCTGTTGCTTGGAGCGGCCCGCAGGCCAGGCTTGACTTGTGAGAGCTTGGTCCACCAGGCTGTAGAACTGCGCTATGTAACCTGGTCTGCGGAGCTAATCACTACTAAAGTACACTTAAATATAATCTCTTTGTAAACACACAATTATCTCAATCCCCGACCGTCCACAAGTGGTTGGGCACCATTCCTTTCCCCCGTCCCATCCCAAATCCTTATCCTGACCCAGTGTTATAGTCGTGATGGCTTGGCGCTTTCCCCCTGATAGCTCCTTTCCCCTCCTTCAATTCATACAGATATATACAGATTTCCAAAAGCTTTATCTGTCAGCAAATGATTCGAGATTCGCATTTTATTACAAGTATACATGACTCTAGACAACATAGAATCTTTAAAATCTTCATTTAGTAATAGATCGTAACTTGAAATCTGTAGAAACTTGCAATTAGAAAAGATTATAAAAGCATGAAACTCATGGTTTATTGAGAAAGAAAAAACGAAAGAAATATTATTATTATACAGGCGATGAGTCACAATAACGTGGCTGAAGTATGATGACCAGACCACACACTAGAAATTGAAGAGACGACGACGTTTCGGTCCGTCCTGGACCATTCTCAATCGACAATCGACTAGAGAATGGTCCAGGACGGACCGAAACGTCGTCGTCTCTTCAATTTCTAGTGTGTGGTCTGGTCATCATTATTATTATAGTTATATTATTATAGAAATATTATTGAGAAAGAAAAACCGAAAGAAATATTATTATTATAGTTATATTATTATAGAAATATTATTGAGAAAGAAAAACCGAAAGAAATATTATTATTATAGTTATATTATTATAGAAATATTATTGAGAAAGAAAAATCATGTAGATATTATGATTAAATCTCAGCCATTTGTATCAAATGATGAACAACAGAACTCTTGTTAAGTGTTTGGAAATATTAAACAATAACCCAACAATAAATTAAGATTTTAAAGAAAGGGGAAGAAAAGGTTTACAAAACTAGTATTATTGCATGTTCAAATTATGTTCATTTAGCTGTTAATGGTGTTCACTTGGCTTGGGAGTAGAACAGCTTGCGTCGTTGAAACGAACTGGGCAGATATACCTCAGGTGTACAGCTGTGACAGGTGTACCACAGGTGAACAGATGCAACAGGGGGCAAAAGATACGACAAATATACCTCTATAACAGGTGCAAAAGATATCACAGGTAACCAGCTGTAACAGGCAGAAGACAAATGCACAAAACATCATACCATCAAAAAAACAGCTTTTGAAGCATTCATTTTACAAGGAGACGAAGATTCTGCATCTCACACTATCTGCGGAGATGAGTTTGAGAAGAGCAATGTGGAAGAGAAAACAGAGATGCAAATCTAAGCAGAATAGTGAAGATGGGTGGATGCTGCTAACATGTCCGACGTCTCTGGAATGGGAGGTGGGGGGATAGGGATGCTGGGAAAGAGGGGGGAAAGGGGGGTGCAGGAGAAATGGGGTAGCGTCGAAGCGGTTGGGGCGAGAGGTAAGGGAGGAAAGCCAAGACTGGCGTTCAGGGCCAGGAGAACCCGTGTTTGACTTGCGGTGTTTGGGATACGAGGGAGCTGGGAGGGTTGAGGTGACTTCAGACCCAAGTAATCAATACTTCCCTGTCGATACTATTTTGAGATCTGGGTGATGATCTATCTTGAGGTTATCTTGAGATGATTTCGGGGCTTTAGTGTCCCCGCGGCCGGTCCTCGACCAGGCCTCCACCCCCAGGAGCAGCCCGTGACAGCTGACTAACACCAGGTACCTATTTACTGCTGTAACAGGGGCATTTTGAAAGAAATTTGCCCATTTGTTTCTGCCTCGTGCGGGAATCGAACCCGCGCCACAGAATTACGAGTCCTGCGCGCTATCCACCAGGCTACGAGGCCCATAGCACTAGTATCTATGCTGTATTCATAGTCTACGAGTTTCTCAATTACAGCTTTGAATATATTAAATAATGCGAAAACTCATTATTTCTGTGATTTGGCAACAATTATTTACAATTAAAAAAAAAATAATGTATTATATATCTCACGTACTTAAACATTTCCCTAATTTCAAAGTTGTTTATGATGTATATTTAGAAATAATACAATATATAGAGAAAATAGTGTCTCACGCCCGTTTATACAATATTGAATTTTGCATTACCTGATGCAAGTGAAATTTAGATTGATAATTGTATTATATTGATCGATTTTATTTATAGTCTAAAAGATTATACAGAAGGAACAGTCAATGTATAAATTAACGTTTTAAAGGGTCCATCGAGTATAATATTCAGAGTATTAATGAAAAAGTTTCTGTAATATTAGATAACCTTCAGATTAGGATACCGTAATATACTTATTGAATAACCTTTGCAGATATCAAGAAATACTTGAGTATAAAAAATACGGAGAATGCATAAAGATGAAGACGTTAGATTTAGAGTTGCATAAAATGAGTGAAATACAGCTTCATCTCTTCCTCCCAGCCAATCAGGAGGTTATCTTGAGGTTATCTTGAGATGGTTTCGGGGCTTAACATCCCCGCAGCTCGGTCCTCGACGAGGTTATCTTGGGGGTTATCATGGGATGATTTCGGGGCTTCGAACCTACGTCCGGGATGATTCCAGACGCGCCTTAATAGACTGCACCACAACATGGTCAAAAGAATTGCAACCTGGAGTGCTACTTAGTAAATAGTGAATTACGCAGGATATCTCTGGACAACACAGCGAATGCATTAATGACTGAAGAACAAAGTACTAATACTTTATGTCTAATCTATGATACTACAGCTTCGAAATTACCTCTTTAAATGTGAATGTTGTTCTAGTTGAGAATTGCTTCAACTCGCTGGTTGCAATTGTCCCACTGAAAGCAGTTTGTGCAGGAAATCTTCTGTGCTTTCAGTAATTATCTTCAGATAGTTTGTGGCTGTTTTCATCTTCACTTGAAGGAATGACACCATCAGTAACTAATTAGAAAGATAAATAGTGGAATTTAGGATTACTAATAGAATAATCTCCCTCATTGTAGTTTTATCTTTATCAGCAGATTTCGGAATGTCTTATTATTCTTACAAATAAGTTGATAAGTATTATCATTATTAAAGCAAGTAATATTCCCTTGCTTATACAAACACACACACACTGTATATATATATATATATATATATATATATATATATATATATATATATATATATATATATATATATATATATATATATATATATATATATATATATTATATTAATATAAACAAACCAAAACCATTAACAAGCTAACAAAGGACTTTATTACCTTGATAGGCGAAGTCCTTAATTGTGAAGTCTGAAGAACAGGTGTGACATCTTTATTGAAACTTTCCAAGGCTGATTAATGACGTCCAAAATCACTATAAATTTATTGAGTGATTGTCTTGTAGCGAGGTGGGCTCAGGGGGGGAAATATTTTCCCTGAATAGTGACATGACGTTTGTCTGATCATATCGTTTGAAAAATGAGATGTCAGGAGTGTGATTTGATTGTGTTAATTTGATATTTTAGACATGATAGTGCTTTTAGGGTTTTAATTGCATCGTTTAAGGTCTTTGGGTGATGCGAGATGTCACTCGGGTATATGACTAGTGATATAGGTAAGGTATGTGTAGTGATATAGTCTAGTGATATAGTCGAGGGGTTTTCAAGTGATATAGTCACGGCTTGTCAGTGCCTATAGTCATTATTGTCGCTAACTTGTGATGTCTGATGGATATAGTGATGTCTGTGGAGATAGTGATGTCTGTGGAGATAGTGATGTTGTAGAGATAGTAATATCTGTCAACATGGGGATTAATATAAAGATATTCACGCTTTTAACGATGTTGCCTGGATCTTGGCCGCTGAAGACTGCTTGGATCTTGGCCGCTAAAGACTGCTTGGATCTTGGCCGCTGACGACTGCTTGGATCTTGACCGCTGAAGACTGCTTGGATCTTGGCCGCTAAAGACTGCTTGGATCTTGGCCGCTGAAGACTGCTTGGATCTTGGCCGCTGAAGACTGCTTGGATCTTGACCGCTAAAGACTGCTTGGATCTTGGCCGCCGAAGACTGCCTGGATCTTGGCCGCTGAAGACTGCTTGGATCTTGGCCGCTGAAGACTGCTTGGATCTTGACCGCTAAAGACTGCCTGGATCTTGACCGCTAAAGACTGCTTGGATCTTGGCCGCTAAAGACTGCTTGGCTCTTGGCCGCTAAAGACTGCTTGGATCTTGACCGCTAAAGACTGCTTGGATCTTGGCCGCTAAAGTCTGCTTGGATCGGTGGATTCCCACAATCCAACAGCACCATCTTGAGGGATCGGTCAGCCTCTTGGTGGTTGCATTTCGCACCACAACGACCTCTTGAGTTGCAAATTCTCACGGAATCCGAACTTCGGATTCCGTACTTCGATAAACATTAAAAGATAGATATGTTTTCTCCGTAACCGGCCGTGCATCATTATCACCTGATGGCCGGTTATCGAGGAACGATATTGAGCGAGGAAGCTGGCAGCAGGAAGGGTCCAGTTTGATTGATTATCTATTAGGAGAATGAATCTTATTGCCGCTTCGTGTCTGGGATGTTTTTTTCCCTCTCTTTTGTGACAAATGTTGTAATTCATATTATTGGACAATTTAGTCTAAATATATATTTCTTAAATTTCAATTTCGGTAGTTAGCTTCATAACAGTCGTTAGATTTATTGCCTATTCAATTGCAGCTTAAATCTGAATATTTCCAAACGACTCGTTAATAAATGGTGCTGAGATTATGGACGATTATGTGCATCAGATCCGAAATCAATAATGTCCATTTTCGTATTCAAATTTCACCGGAAATCGTCCTTGTCGGCCATCCTACCAGACCGAAAATCGACAAACTCGTCACATATTTTTATCCGCGGAAACCTCAATGCAATGCTGAAAGTAATCCGTCTTTTGCAAATGACTGAATGGTGGACTTTGCCAAAACTCGGAACTAAATGGAAATGCATCTGAAAAGTGGAGGACGTTGTGCATTACAGAGGAGAGGATCGACAGATAAGCCTTATCTTTCATTTTCACGTAGTCTCCTTTGCCTCAAAGAGGGGGAACATAATTTGTTTTCCTTTTATAATTATGTTCTTTGAAGATTATGAACATTACACGCTAAGCACGTGTTGGGAGGGTAAGAGGGGTTGGGTAGGGAGGTTGGGGGTATGAGGAGAGGTTTATGAATGATATGAGTTATTACTTGTAAGCGGTAGTTATGAGGAGGTATTTTTCGTCAATTATGTGCGAGAATGTTGGTTGGTATGGTATGTTGTTTCATCTGTTTGTCTCTGTCTCTCTGTCTGTCTCTCTGTCTCTCTCTCTGTGTCTCTCTCTCTCTCTCTCTCTCTCTCTCTCTCTCTCTCTCTCTCTCTCTCTCTCTCTCTCTCTCTCTCTCTCTCTCTCTCTCTCTCTCTCTTTCTCTCTCTCTCTCTCTCTCTCTTCTCTCAGTCGGTCTCTCTCTCTCTCTCTCTCTCTCTCTCTCTCTCTCTCTCTCTCTCTCTCTCTCTCTCTCTCTCTCTCTCTCTCGATAATAATTGTTACTTTTCTGTTCTCGAACTTGACCGTCTCCATCGCTATCATAGCACACTCTTGCCCCGTGATATCTTAAACAGTTATCGTGTGGTGTGTCCTTATCTTCATTGTAGTAAATATCAGGGATATCTTGGCTCTTATTCATTCATCCACTCTATTAAACAATGGTAAGATAATACAATTTCTTTCCTCTTTACCTGTTTCATTTTATCATTATTTTTCCGTCCTTCATATTTATTAATTATTTTCAAATAGACTTTATTACTTAATTTTTGTTATTTTAATCTCTTTCATATCAGGCTTTTTAATTTCTTAATCTTTTCTTATCTTGTAGCTCTTTTTTTCTACATTATGACGTCCTAAATTTTTTTAACACTGTGGGCTTTTCATTATCCCCTTCTGTCTCTCTCTCTCTTTCCCTTTCTCTCCTGTCCTTTTCATTCTTCCCCTCTCATTCAGACACCTCCTCTTGTTCCCCTTTCCCTGTGGCCTATTCTCCCTATTCCTCTTTTGTGTGCTAGTGCCTCTTCCTCTCCTCCTTTGCGTGCACCACCTCTTAATGCTCCTCTATTTCCTGTCTTACAAAGTTAGAGTAGAGCTAAGCCGACGGGAGAGAGGGAGTCCAGTGAATTACCGACAACGGATGAGGAATGGTCAGTTGGCTTGAATTACATCTGCAATTATTCTGTACGCGTCGGACAAGGGGCGGCCGTCGTCTGCGGAACACAGCAGGATACCGTTTTAATTCACTTTTGATGACGAACTGAGATTGGGTGTCTGGCCGCCACCCCGAACTGGGTTGTTGTGATGGGGGATTGGGGGAAGAGGACCCCCCACTACCACCACACCATCCCCAATACCACCAACCATCCACCACTACCACCAACCATCCACCACTACCACCAACCATCCTCCACTACCACCAACCATCCTCCACTACCACCAACCATCCACCACTACCACCAACCATCCACCACTACCACCATCCCCCACTACCACCATCCCCCACTACCACCAGACTGTTACTTCCCACCACTGGTTGGGTAGTCTGAGGAAGGGGGAATAAGTAATTGGTAGCTCGTATAAGGGACAACACAGGCACCGTTGTGGGAGTTAAGAGTGTAAGGAACAATAAGATGAGGTCCAAGATCAGTATCCGGTTCGAATCCCCGGAAGGATGTCATTGTTCGGTTCCAGTATTTAAAAAATTCTCCATCCTGCGAGATGGCGGATTTTTAATATCAATGCTTATTGATATCTTCATTATACATCCAATATACATAGATTCTTGATATCCTCATTATAGATCCAATATTCATACATTCTTGATATCCTTATTATACATACGTTCTTGATATCCTCATTATACATGCAATATACATATATTCTTGATATCCTCATTATACATATATTCTTGATATCCTCATTATACATATATTCTTGATATCCTCATTATACATATATTCTTGATATCCGCATTATACATATATTCTTGATATCCTCATAAATATATTCTTGATATCCGCATTATACATCCAATATACATACGTTCTTGATATCATCATTATACATGCTATATACATAAATTCTTGATATCCTCCTTATACATTCAACATACATACATTCTTGATATCCTTATACATGCAGTTTACATACATTCTTGATATCCTCATACATGTAATATACATACATTCTTGATATCCTCATTATACATCCAAAGGCTGCCAGTGCAGACTACACATCACACGGCCCTATATAACTAATCCTGTGAATTGGAGATTTAGTTAAGTGTATTAAGAACTAATTACATGATGCTATGCAACCCTTCATATACTCTACGGTAGTTGTATAAATGTAGATGTATCTGAATATAATGATAAATCGCTCCTGATTGGTGGTAACCCTGGAAACACAAACCGAAACTGTCTCTGTTTTCCGCCTGTTACAACTTGTAATAAAGTTGTTACATCTTGGCTTAACGTGTTTATGACGTATTAGAACGTTGTTACAACTTGCTATATTGGTTGTTATAACTGGTTAGAAGGTGTTAAAACTTGTTCGAACGTTGTACCAACGTCGTAGTTTCGGTGTGTGTTTGGCGGGAAGGAAATCAGTCCCTCTCAGTTCGTCTGAGGTATAATGATGATTACGTGGAGGATAGGAACAGGTAGTTTCTCTCGTTCTGTATCATCTTATTGGATAAATTGCTAGGTGAGTATCCTTCTTGAAGGAGTAGAAGCTGTTAGTACCTGTTTAAGACATGTGGGTAGCGCTAGAAGGGTGAGAGTAGTTAGTGTGTGGGTTGGGTAGTTAGAGAGGGTTGGGTAGTTAGTGTGTGGGTCGGGTAGTTAATGTGTGGGTCGGGTAGTTAGTGTGTGGGTTATCTTGAG